TGCAGTTTGTCTCTCTTTCAGTAATACTCACCCACGGAGATTAAAATCCTTCCTTAAAAATGCAAATGGCTATTTCCCTTGGGCTTTAGGTTTTCCTCATTTTCCAGTGACATCATCAGTCTGCAAACCTCCTTCTAGGCACAGAGCTAATCCCACTATTTTGTAGTCCTCAGACTACCCAACAGAGGGCAGCTTCTATTCCAGCTGCCATCAGGGTTTCTTAGAAAGCCACCTGACCCACAACATGCACTCATTCAACAAACAACCGTTGAGCTGTGGTGAACTCTGCTAGTCACTGGAGCCTAACAGTGAACAAGAGACCAAAATTTCTCCCTCATGGGGAGTACACGGTCATGAAAGAGACAAGTTGAGACTTAAAAACACAGGAAAACTGCTCTCTGTAAAAGTCTGTGTCATAAATGACTCGTGGAAATCCCATACACCTTTTAGTTTTTTACTTTGTCTTTTATACTGTGTTTGACACTTTCTATGACATTCAGAATGGGAAGGTATGAAGAGAGCTTTGGGAAACAATCTGTGATTTCTTTACTCCAACAAATACTCTATTTAACCAGACTTTCTGCTTTGTACTTCTACCCAACACTCTATGCTTTGTTTCAACACAATTTATTGAAAATACTGGTATAAGTGTGTGTGTAAGAGGGAAACACAGGGCTGTATCTTTTCAGAGTATCATAATTATACCCACCATTCAGTGCTTATCAAGGAGAAAGATAAGTTTCTCAATAGTACAAATAGGAGAAAACCATCAATGTGTAAAAGAGACCTATAAATCAGAATATCAGGTGGGCATAGTTCCATTTTAATAACTAGTAGTTAGAGATTATTGAATAAAACATTCCATAGACACAAATTTATGGTCCTCATATTCCTCCAGGATGCCATCAGGTCCCTGTGGGAATATGACAGCCTTTATTATTGTCCTTTAACAACAGGGATAAGTTAGTGACAGGAGAGCAATCTGCTGGCTTCTCTCTCCTTATTCAAGCTTTTAAATGACTCACTGTAGCCACCCTTCTCTACTGCTGGGCATAGAGTCTCCTCTTTTAAAGTGTGTACATCTTTTTAAAGTGTGTACATATGTGCAAAGATGTGCTTCCACGAGCTCCATCTCAAGAAGTGCCCATCATGTTGGTAAGTTTCTCTGTTGATATCAACAAGCACAACTGGGACTATCAGTTCACAAGAATTAATATAAATAGCAAACAAGCGAAAGTGCAAGGACAAATGCCACTTCTCAAGAGTTCTTTCCATTCCTTTTCTCTTCTATGCTGCAAGCATATCATTCATATATGTTTGAAGTACGCTGTTTAATTCTCCCTTCCTTTGAGAAACTCCTAGGAGTCCTTGTGAAAGGTCAGAACCAAGAGCAGCTGCCCCAGTGGGGACTGAGTACCTTTTTGAAAGTAAATCTGTTGGGCAAATAGTCAGCTGCTCCTCAGGGCTTCTGCTTGGTGGAACTGCCCTGGGAAGCAACTCAGCCCATAGGGCTGCTTAATGCCGTGTTAGGGAGTCACACACCTTAAGCAGATATGTGCATAACCAGTACAGGCAAGCAGTGACAGCATGGAGGACATCTACGTGATCCTCCCCTTGGAAAGAGCCATCAACACTGGAATCTGTCAGAGAAAGCAGATCACAGAACAGATCAAAACCTGTCATGACAGGAGGCCAAAAGCAGAAGTGTCACCTTACCTGTGGGCGGGAAATAGATCAAATGTTTCCAGGAGGGGTGTGTGAGAGGACTGAGTCAGGACATGTATATAAGGAAGACGGGGCACTAGGGGGGATGCTGCAGTTACAGAGGCTCTGCTGTCTGAAGTTCAAGTTGAATTTCCGCCGTCATAACAGTTACTTCATAGTCAAACACCATGCATACAATTTTACTGAGTAATAGAGATTTTGAAGAGTGTCAGTATTTTCTACTGATACTACAAACATTACGGAAAGGTAAGACCCACATGTGCTTGGAAATTTACAAGTTCCTGTGTGAAAGGAAAGAGTTTACCTTCAGAACAGACTCCATAAAAAGTCACAAAATAAACACTGTCCAGTAGATGCAACACAAAATGCTGCTTGAGTAATTAAAATGACAGCAGAAGCAAAGCAGACAAGAAGACAGAGCTCACTTTTATAAAGCCACATCCAACTCATTCTGGATTATGTCTCTTTCCACTGGGTTTATTTGCACAGTTGGCATGAAAACCTGTATATAAATTCCCCAGCCATTGTACGAAAGAGTTCAGCTGGGTTTCTCACCTTCCCTCAACTGCCCTCCAAGGTCACATGATGAGAGAGACAAATGAGTCCAAGACTTGACAGTAACTATGCCTTTTTAGTAATACAATATACATTCATGAGATGCAATATTATTCATTTAATTCTTTAAGAAATACAGTTAATACATCTACCTTTCATTGAGGTTGAAGAAAGGGAAAATGTCAGGGTATCAGGATATCAGATAACAGGCACTTCGGCCTGCTTCACTGAAGACTTTCGGTGACATCTCCCTGAGCCCCCAGCGTCTTCCTTTCCTGGTAACAACTCCTGTCAAACCCTCCCAACCCACTTGTCAAGCCCCAGAAGTAATTTTGCTTCTGGACTAAGTATCAGAGCCCCAGCTATGTCTGCAGTTTGTCTCTCTTTCAGTAATACTCACCCACGGAGATTAAAATCCTTCCTTAAAAATGCAAATGGCTATTTCCCTTGGGCTTTAGGTTTTCCTCATTTTCCAGTGACATCATCAGTCTGCAAACCTCCTTCTAGGCACAGAGCTAATCCCACTATTTTGTAGTCCTCAGACTACCCAACAGAGGGCAGCTTCTATTCCAGCTGCCATCAGGGTTTCTTAGAAAGCCACCTGACCCACAACATGCACTCATTCAACAAACAACCGTTGAGCTGTGGTGAACTCTGCTAGTCACTGGAGCCTAACAGTGAACAAGAGACCAAAATTTCTCCCTCATGGGGAGTACACGGTCATGAAAGAGACAAGTTGAGACTTAAAAACACAGGAAAACTGCTCTCTGTAAAAGTCTGTGTCATAAATGACTCGTGGAAATCCCATACACCTTTTAGTTTTTTACTTTGTCTTTTATACTGTGTTTGACACTTTCTATGACATTCAGAATGGGAAGGTATGAAGAGAGCTTTGGGAAACAATCTGTGATTTCTTTACTCCAACAAATACTCTATTTAACCAGACTTTCTGCTTTGTACTTCTACCCAACACTCTATCCTTTGTTTCAACACAATTTATTGAAAATACTGGTATAAGTGTGTGTGTAAGAGGGAAACACAGGGCTGTATCTTTTCAGAGTATCATAATTATACCCACCATTCAGTGCTTATCAAGGAGAAAGATAAGTTTCTCAATAGAAAAACTTTATTCACTTAGTCTTTGTAGCAGGAAGTTAAAAAGTATACAGGCACACTCTGAGAGCTTGTCTTTTATTATAACCCCAATTTTATTGACTTTTCAGTCAACCAAAATTGCAAAACAAGAAGAGAAGTTCTTACCCTGAACATGAACTGGGGCTGAAGTCTAGACCCCAGATAGACTCTTAAATTCACTAAAACCCATTAATTTTCAAACCAAAAGTTTACAGGGCTGTTCACAATATGATCAGGTAGCACAGAGGACCTGGTTGAAGCCTGGATGGCAGTGGGCTCTAGGGTCTGGCCCATCTTAGCATTCCTATGGAACCCTAGGGCCCTGGGAGAGCAGTTTGAAACCTGCTAATCTAGGTCAAATCCTCTTGTTCATATCTGGACGAAACTGAGACCCAAGGAGATTCAGTTATTTTCTGAAAGCCACACAGCCACTTAGCAGTACAACAAAGACACACTCGGGCCTCCTGTCACACATTTTTTCTACAGTATCTTTGCTTTCAATAAAAGTGTGAAGGCACCTTGTTGGCTGGCTCTCATTTTCTGATATTTAAAGGCAAATATAAAAATCAAAGGATTCCTATGCTGTGTGACCCAAGTTTGAATTCAAATTTTACTTCTACCCAGCACTCTCCACTTAGCAATGTTGAAGCACCATCACACTCATACCCGGGAGACGAGGCTCAGGTTGGGTGCCCAGAGACACAGGGCCAGGCAGATCTCTGTCTGTGGGCCTAGAAGCTGGAGGAAGAGAAGTGCTTGGAATAGTGAAGGGCTGGGAGAACAGGTTCCTGAACTTCTCTCCTCACTCCTACATCTAGGTGGGGGACCGGGAGTATTCTTGTCTAAGGATGCTGGTTAACAACAGAGCCTTCATAAGCTGTACTCTAAAAACAGCCATAGTAGGCCACCTCCTCTTATAAATGCCCACAAAGGATATCCTGAACTGCAAGTTTTCACGAATGTGCCCCCAGTAAGGCTGGCCCTTGTTTCTTTTACTCTAAAATTATGTCACCAGAAAAACTAATATATATTTTTGAATAGATATAAATTGACCATATCTTTACTTCAGACTTCTAGTTGGGGAGAGAACCTTATCAAGGATTTACATGGTTTCTGATACTGGAGAACTTCCCAGTTCTCTCCCCTGCCCCCATTTTTATCTTCCAACTTGACCTCCAGGCTCTTCTCAGTGGGATTTTGGCAGGAATAGAGCATCTGACCTCAAAGGAGGGGAGCAGAGAGAGGACCTCTGGGCTAACAGTAACTTACTTTAGCTCCTTTATCAAGGAAGCTAGTATCCCGGTCTATCAGAGCCATAGCCCACTTCCTGCCTGCCTGTCACTGATACAGCCCTTGCCAGCTGTCCTCCTAATATTCCCAAGAGGCAGGCTTGGCCTTATCCACCCTAGGGGGAATGACTTGACCAGTTTAGAATTAACTCTTCATAATCTAGAAAACTGAAGCCACAAAAGTTTGGTTTCCATCATCCCCCTATGTCAAATACACATGGGCTGCAAATTACAGCAGTTTAGGACTATTTGTGGAATGTGTCACTGACATGAAACACACATTGTCCATCTTTTCAGGAAGAAAACGAGATCCCTGCCAGCGTGTTTGTGAAGGAGCCAGGTCCCGGCGCCGTGGAGGGCAAGGAGGGGCTCGCTGACGAGAACAAGTCCCTGGAGGAAACCCTGCACACGGTGGACCTCTCCTCGGATGACGAGCTGCCCCCTGAGGAAGAGGCCCTGGAAGACAGTTCAGAGGAAAAGACGGGCGAAAGTACAGCAGAGAAAATAAAAAGATCCAGCCTCCGGAAAGTAGATAGTCTCAAGAAAGCATTTTCTCGCCAGAACATCGAGAAAAAGATGAACAAGCTGGGGACCAAGATCGTATCTGCAGAGAGGAGAGAGAAGATTAAGAAATCTTTCACTTCCAATAACCAGAAAACATCCTCGGGGAAAATCTCCCCCTTCAAGGTCTCTCACCTCACTTTTGGTCGACGGAAAGTCCAAGAAGGAGAAAGCCCTGCAGAAAAGGAGACCCAGTCTGAAGACATGCCTGGGGGTGACCAGATGCCCAATGAGCACGAGGAGAGCTCGCTCGCGGAGGGCCTTTCGGAGGAGTCCCTCACCGGCGCCCTGGTGGACGGGGATGCTGGGAGGGCAGCCTCCAGAGGGAGTAACTCGGGCAGGGACAGCAACATCGACCTGACCATTGTGGAGGATGAAGAAGAGCAGACAGTGGCCCTGGACCAGGCACAGAAGGTGTGCTACGAAGGAGGCGACGGGCTACCCTCCCAGGAGGCAGAGCGGGCGGCGGGGGAGCCCGTGCCGCCAGCAGTGCTCCAGGTGGACCAGAACGCCTAACCACCCAGTCTGCTGCGGCCGCCCGCATTTCTGGTTAGGAGGCTACTAGAGCCTAGAAACAAAACTGCTGCACACCTCCAGCACTACTCACTTGCTTCTGTGTTACTGTCCTGTCGTAGTAACCATTTAACACACAGTAGCCCACACATAACCAAGATTTACTGTGAAAGCAACCTGTCAGGCGCTCCACTTCTGATTTGCTCCTGGGTTCTATTTCTGTAGAAATTCTCCAAGACGCCTGGAAGAAGAAATGAAGCAGTTGAGAAACACCGAACAATTTCATTTAGAAAAACCAGAGACTACTTAAGATACCAGTCACGAAATGTGATTCATTTATTTGTCATTCCATAAGCTTGCTGCATAGTGTGCCAGTAATATGTTGAATTTCCACAGAACTCTACTCTATAAATCTAATTATTCTTCTTCAAGTGTGTGATATATAGTATTCCTATATATTTAAGCTAAAGATGTAACTACTTTAAGAAGACAACACTTTTTTTAAAAGGTAGCAGAGAAATTTCAGTGGTCTGTTCACTCAATAGAAGCCAACGTTTTATTGAAAATGAAGGAAAAATAGAAAGAATATAATATTCAGCTGTGAGGTAACATATGTATGAAAGTGAGGACTATTAGAAAAAGAAAACTAAGAAGGAGAAGTTGGAAAATAAGAGAAAAAAGAAACAAAGAATGTCAAAGAGAATGAAGACAAAGAAAGAAAAAAATCTATGCATTTAAAAGTAAAATATTATAATACTAACTCCAGTATTCCACTCCTTAAATAATAATACTAAAAATTTCATATATCCTGGAGTATCTTCACAATATTTTTATTTCCTCATATCTTCAAATAATATGAAAAACATAGTTTGCTGTGCTAAAGCTGCATTTTTTCTTAATAAATAAAACACATTACAAATATTTCTCCAAGGAAGTTCAAAAGTTTGTTGTCCCTTTAACATTGGAATTAACATAATTAATATATACTGCTTTTTGTAAGAAGTTGGATCATACTATTCTTTGATGCAATGTTTCCCAAATTTGAAATAACTTTTACCCTCCAGATGATGTAATGTAGATTTATAAGATGAAAAATCAACAGGTATGGGAAGGGAAGGATTCTTTTTTTTCCTTTTTATACATAATGGTAATTTCATTCCAGGGCATATTTTATTTATATATTAATTTCACAGTATATTAATATGATTCTTTTTAAAGCATGCTAGTGTTTATGTACTTGTGCACATGTTTTCAGACAGGGTAATTTTTACTACTGCATAACAGTATACTAAAATATTGCTTTATCTATTTTTAATTACAGAATGCTAATGTTTAGAGAACACTGTTAAATTATAGTTGAAAGACAGTTGTACCAGGGAGCAAATTCCCTAGCTTTATTATGTACCACTCACTGTAAGTAACCTTACAAATATTGGTAATCCAAGACAGTATTAGCAAACTGTGCTTTGTCATATTAAAGGGATCAGATTAACAAATGTGCTGATGTCATAACCTATATAGCTATGTCCTCATTTTGCTATTCTGTACCCTGAATATTAGATTGTTGAACTAACAATGGCTGTGTTAAAGAAGACTAAATAAACCAAAAAAATAAAAGGTATACAACATCAGTTTTTGAGCAGAACAGTTTTAGAACAAGCAGAAAGAATTGATTTGTAAACTCTTCTCCAAACATAGCTGTAATGTTGATTGTTTCAATCTTGATTTCCCCTATTAACTCTGCTTTTTTTTTTTGCCCTAATCTTATTTAGAAATCCAAGCCTCATTCTTCAGGTTTAACTTTCTTGACATCACCTTGCCAGCTCTGGAAAGCATTTGAATTTATTGTAGCAGCTTGATGAATTTGATAGTTCCATCTGCATTTTTATTGTTTGTACCAGACCTTATAATACCTTAAATAGCCCTACAAACATGAATGTATTGAACTGTATGTTCAGTTTATTCACACAGATAAGCCTTTCTTCGTCAGTGCCACACACTTGGTAGAAGACTTAATTCCCCTCGGGGCCCTAAGCATATCTGTTTGACGGCCATGAAGTTACTGTCACTCCTCGAAGCCAAGGAGTTGGGGAATCCAGAGCTAATACAAACTGTACATTTCCTTTTCCAAAAATGCTTAGGTTATTTGCTTCTATCAACTATCTACATGTCAGTGAAAAATCTACACTTAATCATCTTTTTAGATTTCACTGACAAACATGTACTCTATGTTCCACATTTGAAGCATTACAATTCTAAGCAATAAAACAAAGAATTAGGCCAGATAATTGTTGGAAAACACATCCTATAGGGATAAGAGAGAATAGCAGTTGTGGAAATGAAGCTATTTATTCTGGATTATTGTTGAATATTTGCATGTTAGGGAGGCTGCAAAGTCCCCAAATTAGATAAATCTTCTTCCCACCCATCCAATAACCCATTCCTAACTTTATGTACCTGGAGTTCAAGAACTGGATTAGTTTTCCCCCAAAGATTGGTTACACTTTAATAAACACTGAGATCCATATCTTAGAAATATTATTCACAAGAAAGAAGCATCTACTACACAGAACACAAATCTCACAGACATATAGCAAAGATGTCACTTTCCTACAAGATTTTATTTTTAAGATATATAGACAAATATATTGCAACAGGAATATTTTCCTCTTCGTACTTAGGAATCTAGTATATGATTGAATTTCTCTTTATAAACGAAATTAAAAGACTAAAACTAAGGCCAGTTCTGCCCAAAATAGAGATTTTTCACCTTTTTTATGTGATGAAAGCCCCAAATGTTTCTGCTTTTAGCACTGCTCATACAGAAGGTCAAGGTTTGAACGTCACGGGTTGCAGTCCACTACCAGGAAACTAGAAGCTCCTTCAACATTGCCATGCTGCTAGTGTTAAGTAAAGGTTATAATGAAAGTCATTTCTGACATTAAGACACTAATACCCAAGCCCAGTTCATTCTTGCTTGAAAGTTTGTTTACTGCCCTACAGCCCAAGTCTAAATGATGTTATATTGGAGACTGGGAGTATGAGGAACCGAGGTACAGGCAGCAATCATTATTAACAGTTCCATAGCAACCACAAGTCTTTCCTTAAAAACCAAGACTCTGACACTGCAAAACAAGTTTCAGATGAAATTGGCATTGTGACCTTTGTATTCTGCTTGATCTGGGTGGCGAGATAAAGACTTCTGCAGCCAGGAACTCATTGCTAAAGGGAACAGGTAGTGGCTCACATTATGAAAGATACATTTTTCTTTTTGCTTTAACCATTGCCTTATCTCATAGTATTTGAAACTCTAAAATGATTTTTAACTCTCCACACAAATTGCCCCAATTAAGAAGCCACACATTCAGCAAAACAGCTTGATATTCATACATTTAAAGACTTTCCTCCTTAAGATGAACTCAGTAAATACTCAGTGACCAATGCAGCCATTTGTCCAGTCTGTCTCTTTCGCTAAAATGCTTGGTGCACAAAGCAGTAAGACACAAGCATGGAGGAGAGGGGCCCTGCAGTTTTGAGAGCTTACTTTAGGCCAGGCTGGGTGCTCCAGGGGTCAGGAGTACTGTGTATCAATCACATGCTAGTTGCAAGCATTATCTCATTTAGTCTAACAAATCCTCCTAGGAAGGTACTGTTTTTACACCTAAGACTTTTGAGGTTAATTACTCCAACTAGTACAATGCAGAGAGAGGGGGAACACCAGAGTTCTCAGCCACTCTAAGTTCTCACTCATCTTGTTATAATTCAACTATTTTCCTTTGAAGGTCACAGAGTTAAAAGACTTATCCACGTTTACATAACCATTGAGTGTCAAAGTCAGTGCTCAACCCCAGTAAAATCCATGTTACTGCCAAAACAGACTCCTAATTATACCACCCAACTGTGCTTAATTATGAATCCCTTTATAAGCTCTCAGATGGTATAGAATTAACTGTTTTATCGCTTTTTATGTGCATTACATACAGCTGTACTTTGTATATGGCTTTGATAATTGTCATACCAGTGCTAAGAAAAAACAGCTCACCAAGCCACAGCTCTCTTGGGGAGCCACAGAGAGACTGATTGAGGTCTGCTGAGGCCACAGAGGGGGTCCAAAGCGACTTTGCTTCGCCTATTGTCACTAGCTGCAGGGGTTACTTTGGGCACAGTTTAATAAGGCAAGCTGTCAACAGGGATAGATACTGGCATCATCTAATTGAAAGATGGCACAGAAAGTCTGCATCAAACTCTTTAGGTTAAAGGAGACATACCCTTCCCCTCTGTGTCATGCTAAAAAAAAAAAGTCACTATATCGTGCCTGGAAACAATCTTCTTATCAACTAAAAAATAAGCAAATGGCAAATCAGTATGGGTGGCAGGAAGGATGTGGAGATCCGGGAAGAAACTTCAGGACATAAAGACCTAGCCTCTAAATATAATTCTGCAAAACTGTCCCGCTGTCTTCTCAAGGAAAGCAGGAGCTAAGGCAAGCAAATGCTGGTGTCTCCATTTCTGTGAGCAAGCCATCAAAGAAAACCCTTTAGGCCAGCCATCATTCATCAAGACGTGTGTTGCATGCAGCAACTTCTTCCAAAGGGTTTGTCAGTGGTCACAAACTCAAATGCCTAAAGGGCTCACATGAGTAAAACGGTTCAAGGAAATGGTGGCAAAGCTGTGACATGTGGGCTAGGTCTTGTCTGAGGAGATGCTCTTATAATTTATCCGCCCAGAAGCAGTGCCTCTTTTCTAATTCCCAAAAAGGAATTCTAGGAACCCCCCCTCCCCGGATTATAGTAGACTGGCAGCCACTATCCAAGTCCAGTTGCCTTGTAGGAAATCAGCCCGTGTTGCCGAAACAACAACTTCTCTTGTGAAAGGCCAAAATTCAGATTTCCCGTTACAGGAAATTCTCCTGGCTTTTAATTTTTGGCAACCAGCTTCAAGTCATTTTAAATATTGTGTGAGACAATCATAACTGTCTGCTGTCTGAATGTAGCCTGATTCCTGATTTATAGAGATGAAGTCTCCTGGGTTCTCCTTTCCCTCCCTGAGGCACAGACATTAGAACAGAAAGCTAGTAACAGGATTGGATTTGTCTTGAGAAAAAGCACAAAAACCTTCCTAGGGAAATATAAAATGCAAAAATACCCTTGCCAGAACTTGCAAGAAATTTTTTCTTGCTGCTTAGAGAACTTGTGAAAATATTGCCATTCATGAGCAGAGGAGACCCTCACCGATCATGTTGATAGGTGGTTATATGTTCTCTGATGGGCAAGCATCAGTTCTGGTTATTAGCATTGTTAGCTACCTGTGCATTACCTTCTGAGTGCTTGGATGTAGAAGTGATTGGTATTTTTCATAAACTGAGCATAGGTGTAACTATCCCATTTTTGTGTTCCTGTTGAAAAATATCTACTCCTGTCTATAACCTGGAGGCCCTACAGATGACAGAAAAGCAAGTCTGCCCTCTGTTTTGCCATATATCAGACCAGAATTGCCACCTAGCACTCCAATTCTTCAATTCTTTATTGTTAGTAATAAGGTACTAAAGGGAAAGAACACAGCTCAAGTTTTGGATGCTGAATTGAGCCTTCAGAGCTCAGAGTTGGGGAACAAAACTGTTACAGATTTAGCACATGGGGCAAAAAGACATCCTTTGTTAAGAAGAAACTTCATGCTTGCTTGCAACCACTTGAAGCTCTGAAGAAATATAGGGATTAGCTGTGTTCTCCCAAGAAACATAGGGATTAGCTGTGTTCTCCAAGGTCCTCTATATGTTAATTGTCTCTAGAACCCCAATGACATGCAGGGAAAATCTGTGTATTCTGGTGAATGTGCCCTTATTTGAAAAATCTAATTTCCTAGGGACTTTAAATCACTAATTTTATATACCTACATAACAAAAGGAAGCCTCCGCTCCTGGGATGAAATGGGGAGAAGCAATATCTTAGCTTATGTGACTCCCCCTGAAATTAACCAGGGAAAAAGGAGACTGATGTAGATTAGGTTTAATTTCATCATCATCTTTGGTTCTCTCTCTGTTTTTTTTCTTTTACCACCACTCTTTCTATTGTCAGATGCCAAGGATGCCTCCCAACGACTGTGGAGCTAGACTTTTCAGAGACTAAATAAAAGCTGTTAAGCCCTAATTATCCAATAATTACAGTAGTTTTAGTCTGCAAGAAACATTTCCCCACTACAGTTATCCACTTTGTTTTATTAACATTTATTACATTTATTGGGCATCTATATGTGCCAAACCCTCTGTGAGGTCCACAGATAAGACAGAACGCGAAGAGTCTTTGCCACCTACAAACTCTCTATCTATTGAGGAAGAGATAAGTAACTTGAACTCATAGTAGCAAAACAAGAGGGAACAAATAATTTGAGAGAAAAATACATCTTCAGCCTTAAGAAAGTTGTTATTTGAGAAAGAGTCCCTCAAGATAGCTAATGGAGACATTGTAGCTTGGCTATATAACATATTATAAATGTCCAGAAATATAAAGAAGCTAAATTGCAACAGATGTAGGTGTGTGAACTTAATGAATATACAGGAATAGGGAATAGAAATTTCTCTGCTTTAACGTATGGTGCTTAAAAATGGTGCTACTTCAAAATAGCAGAAGGGAGAATGGGTGGGAGAAAAATCTATAATCTTTAAAATGCAACATTGACAGTGAGTACCTTCATTTGTTTTAATTAACAAGTAAATATTGAGCATATAACATACACCAAGCCCTGTGAGAGGCACTGGGTTCACTGGGTAGACAGCAACTAGCCAGACACATGCTCTACCCTCCTGCTACCCCAGCAAGCCCTGAAATAAACTGCTTATTTAGTTGTCTCTTGCCAGAAGTTCAAATCGCTTTTGCTTTCAGTTTTTGTTTTATTTGGTTTTAGGGACTTTCCCCTCATGAAAACACATTACTAATGTATAATGTTATATACTATCTTTTTCTAAGCTGAAACAAGGCTGAATAAATTAAAATACACAATGGAAATCCAAGAGAAAATTTGACTTCCTTTAGGTACTGTAACTACATTCAGCTTCAAAAGCAAGCATGTTAACTTTAAAGTAAGAGTTGGGTTTTTTAAAATAACATTTGTCAAGGTTCTTTAATTAAAAAATAATTAAGGGAAAAAATGGCCCATAATCCTACTTCCCAGATAAGCCCCAGTGTAATTGTTCATTTTCTTTAAAATATTACAGAAAACTAATAGTAACTAATAATAGTCTTCTACTGTTGTGTAACAAATTAGCCCCGTGAAACAGCACCCGTTTATTAGCTCACAGTTCTGGAGGTCAGAAGCCCAGCACGGTTTGCCGGATTCTCTGCTTAGCATCACAAGGCTGAAACCAAGCTTGACTGGCCTGGCGTCTCTAGGGGTAAATCTGCTTTCAGGCTCATTTTCATTGGCAGAATTCAGTTCCCTGCAGTTGTAGGACAGAGGTCCCCATCGCCTTACTGGCTGTCAGCCCTGCCCGGACTGCCCGCAGCTCCCAGAGGCTGCTCACATTTCTTGCCCTGTAGTCCGCACCATCTCCAAGCCAGCAATAGCACATCCAATCCTTCTTGTGCTCTGAACCTCTGATTTATTTCTCTCCTTCTTTCTTCTCTTTCCTCTCCTTCTCCTTCTCCTTCCCCTTCTTCCACTACTCTTCTACCTTCAAAGAAAACTCTCTTCCTTTAAAGGGCCCCTGTGATTCCATCAGGACCACCTGGAT